GGGCAAAAGACCTCCCCCTTGCTAGATCAAAGCATACTGCACAGCTAAGTGCAGAACCTTCCAAACATCTAGTAACCATGCCCGTGGTCCAATCATTCCCCTATGCAGCCCTGCTGGGTAAAGCAAGCTCTGATCTCACTAGGAAACCTATGTGAGCCTCCACAAACAACAATAGAAATAACAGAAAGCCTACAAACTCATAGAAACTGAACAACTCTCTACTGAATGACTGTTGGGTCAAGGCAAAAATAAAGAAAGAAATTAAAGACTTCCTAGAATTCAATGATAATGAATGCACAGCATACACAAACCTATAGAACACCATTAAAGCAGTGTTAAGAGGAAAGTTCATAGCACTAAGTGCCTACATTAAAAAATTGGAGAGATTTCATACTAGTGACTTAATAGCACACCTGAAAGCTCTACAGCAAAAAGAAGTAAGCACACCCAAGAGGTGGAGGTGGCAGGAAATAATCGAACTGGGGACTGAAATCAATAAAAAAGAAACAAAGAGAATTATCAAAGAGTCAATGAAACAAAGAGTTGGTTCTTTGAGAAAATAAGCAAGATAGACAAATCTTTATCCCAACTAACTAAAAGACAGAGAGAGAATATCCAAACTAACCATATCAGAAACAACAAGGAGGACATTAAAAACAGACACTGAGAACATCTGAAGAACTGTTAGGTCATACTTTAAAACATGTACTTCACAAAATTGGAAAATCTAAAAGAAATGGATAATTATCTTGATAGATACCACTTACCAAAGTTAAATCAAGATCAGAAAAACAATTTAAATAAACCTACAATAGGTCGGGTCTATTTAAATAGAAGCCATCATTAAAAATCTTCAAACCAAAAGAGGCCCAGGGCCAGATGGTTTTGGAACAGAATTCTATGAAACTTTCAAAGAAGAGCTGATACCAGTACTCCTCAATTATTTAACAAAATATAATCAGAAGAAATATTGCCAAATTCTTTTTATGAGGCCACAGTTACCCTAATACCCAAACCACACAAAGACTCAACAAAGAAAGAGAATTACAGACCAATTTCCATCATGAACATTGATACAAAAGTATTCAATAAAATACTGGCAAACCGAATCCAAGAACACATCAAAAAAGATTATCCACTATGTTCAAGTAGGCTTCATTCCAGAGATGCAGACATGATTCAACATAAGAAAATAAGTCAATGTAATCCACCATATAAACAAACTGAAAGAAAAAAAAACACATTATGATCAAATCAGATGCTGAAAAAGCCTTTGACAAAACCCAACACTTTTTCATGATAAAAGTCTTGGAGAGGTTAGGGATACAAGAGACACACCTAACATAATAAAGGCAATTTACAGCAAGCCTATGGCCAAAATCAAATTAAATGGAGAGAAACTCAAAGCAATTCCACTAAAATCAGGAACAAGACAAGGCTGTTTACTCTCTCCATATCTATTCAAAATAATACTTAAAGTTTTAGCTAGAGCAGTAAGACAACTAAAGGAGATCGGGGAGATACAAATTAGAAAGGAAGAAGACAAAGTATCATTACGTGAAGATGATATGATAGTATAGAAAAGCCAACCCAAAAATTCTAACAGATAATTTCTACAGTCTATAAAGACCTTCAATAAAATCAGTAGCTATCCTTTAACTCATTCTTTTATTTCTCCAAGACATGGTTTCTCTGTATAGCATTGGCTGTCCTAAAGCTTGATCTGTAGACCAGGCTGGCCTTGAACTCACAGAGATGCACCTGCCTCTGCCTCCCAAATGCTGGGATCAAAGGCGTGCGCCACCACTGCCTGGCAATAGCACTCCTATAAACAAATGATAAATGGGCTGAGAAAGATATCAGGGAGACAACACCTTTCACAATAGCCAAAAAATAATATAAAATATCTTTGAGTAACTCTTACCAAGAAAGTGAAAAACTTGTATGACAAAAACTTCAAGTATTTGAAGAAAGAAGTTGAACAAGATATCAGAAAATGAAAAGATCTCCCATGCTCATGGATCAGTAAGATTAACATAGTAAAAATGGGCAGCTTACCAAAAGCAATCTACAGATTCAACACAATCCCCATCAAAATCCCAACACAATTCTTTACAGACCTTGAAAGGACAATTCTCAACTTCATGTGAAAAAAACAAAAAACCCAGGATATCTAAAACAATCCTACATAATGAAAGAACTTCTGGAAGCATCATCCCTGATTTCAAGGTGTACTACAGAGCTATAGTAATAAAAACTGCATGGTATTGGCATAAAAACAGACACATCGATCAATGGAATGGAATGGAAGCCCCAGACATAAATCCACCTACAGACACCAGGGTTGTTTTTTGTTTGTTTGTTTGCTTGTTTTTTGTTTTGTTTTGTTTTTATAAAGAAACCAGAAATATACAATGGAAAAACTGAAGCATCTTCAACAAATTGTACTGGTCTAACTGGATGTCTGCATGTAGAAGAATGCAAATAGATCCATATCTATCACCCTACACAAAACTCAAGTCCAAGTGGATCAAAGACCTGGTAGAACAGAAAGTAGGAAATAGCCTTGATTGCACTGGCACAGGAGACAACTTCTTGCACAGAATACCAACAGTGCAGGCACTGAGATCAACAATCAATCAATAACTGGGACCTCATGAAACTGAAAAGCTTCTGTAAGGCAAAGGACACCATCAATAGGACAAAATGACAGCCTACAAAATGGGAAAGGATTTTTATCAACGACCTGTTCAATACAGGGCTAATCTCAAAATATATAAAGAACTCAAGAAACTAGACATCAACAAACCAAATAATCCAATTGAAAAGTGAGGTACAGAGCTAAATAGAATTCTCAGGGGCTGGAGAGATGCGTTAGTGGTTAAGAACACTGACTACTCTTCCAGAGGACCCAGGTTCAATTCCCAGCATCCACATGGCAACTCACAACTGTCTGTAACTCCAGTTCCAGGGAACCCAACATCCTCACACAGACATAAATTTAGGCAAAACACCAATGCACATAAAATAAAAAATAAATAAATTTAAAAAACAGAATTCTCAATAAAGGAATCTCAAGTGGCTGAGAAACACTTAAAGAAATGTTCAACATCTTTAGCCATCAGGGAAATGCAAATCAAAACTAGTCTGAGATTCTATCTTACACTAATCAGAATAACTAAGATCAAAAACACAAGTGAGAGCTCATGCTAGCAAGGATGTGGAGCAAGGAGAACACTCCTCCAATGCTGGTGGGAATGCCACCTTATACAGCCACTAAGGAAATAAACATGAAGGTTCCTCAGAAAGTGGAGGATCAATCTTCCTCAAGACTCAGCTACATACACTCTTAGGCATATACCCAAAGCATGCTCCATCCTACCACAAAGACACTTGCTCACCTATGTTCATAGAGGCTTTATTAACAATACCCAGAAACTAGAAACAACCTAGATGTTTCTCAGCGGAAGAATGGATAAAGAAAATGTGGTACATTCACACTATGGAGTATTACTCCACTGGTAAAAAAATGACACCAGCCCAGTGCCTTTAATCCCAGCACTCGGGAGGCAGAGGCAGACGGGTCTCTGTGAGTTCGAGGCCAGCCTGGTCAACAGAACGAGTTCCAGGACAGCCATGACTATACAGAGAAACCTTGTCTTGAAAAAACAAACAAAAAAAATCATGAAATTTGCAGGCAAATGAATAGAACTAGAAAAAAGTCACCCTGTAATATAACCCAGAACCAGAAAGACAAACATGGTATGTACTGAAGTGTAAGTGGATACTGACTGTTGGTGAAAGGATAATCATATACAATCCATAGACCCAGAGAGGATAAGTACCAAGGGGGAGTCGTATGATCTCTGTGGGAAGGAGAGATATAATAGATTTTGTGGGTGCACTGGGAGAAGATGGAAATAGGAACAGGAGGGATCAAGGGGGTGTGGAAGGAGTGAGTACCAAAAAGATGACTGGAATTGGGGGGGAATGGAGGGAGAGTGTGAAAACCTAGTGCAGTGGAAACGTCCTGTAATCTCCGAGGTAGACCCTATCAAAGACTCCTAGTAATGGGTGATATGGAGCCTGAACTGGCCATCATCTATAACCAGGCAAGGCTTTCAGTGGTGGGACTGAGATTCCAACCCAGCTACAAAACCTTCAACCTACACTTTATTCTGCCTGAAAGATGTGCTGGTGTAGAGGTGGCACAGAACTTGTGGGAGTAGCCAACCAATGACTGGTCGAACATGAGGCTCAAGCCACAAGAGTGAGGCCAAGCTGGACCCTGCCTGGATGGCCAGGAATCTGAAATGGGATGGCTCAGGGACCTAGGGCAGAGCTAAACATAAAAACAAAACAAGCAAACTAAAGTCAATGAACTGATTTCTAACAACATTCCACTGTACTCATAGACTGGTAGCTAGCCTATTTGTCATCAGAGAGGCTTCATCCAGAACTGACGGGAGCAAAGGCAGAGACCCACAACCAAACATTAGACAGAGCTTGGGGAACCCTGCAGAAGAGGGGGAAAGGATTTTAGGAGCCAAAGAGGTCGAGGATACCAGGCTGCATGTATGTTATGGTTGTTAGCTTGGTATTCTTGTGGGATTCCTAAGAGTGGGAGTGGGGGTGTCTCTGACTCTTACCTGCACTAAGGATGTTTTCCTTCTCCTGGGTTGCCTTGGTCAGCCTTGATATGAGGGTTTGTGCCTAGTCTTGTTATAAATTGCTGTGCTGTGTTTGGTTGACATCCCTTTGGAGACCTGCTCTCTTATGAATGGAAACAGAGGAGGAGTGCATCTAGGGAGAGAGGAGATGGAAAAGAGAACTGGGAGGAGTAGAGGGAGGGGAAATTGTGGCTGGGATGTAATGTATGAGAGAAGAATAAACATAAATGGAAGGAGGAAACGAATGTAGGAAGGAAGTAAAGAAAGATTTATGTGAAACCATTTCACTCTACAGCAAGCAAAAAAACTCATAGGCGCTTTGATTCTTACCATCCATTGGTGGACTGTCTTTTGTGCAGTTCAATTCTTTGTGAGTTAGATCTCTTATAGCTTTTTTTTCTTCAAAAAGTTGAGAGTATTTTTGAAAATAAACTGTAAAAAAACAGAAACAAAACCACTAATTTTCATGAAAATATTATGGCTTTAACTTTCTACTTACTGGTACAAAGATCTACCAAGCCCCAATTTACATAAGTAGACAGAGCCTAAGATTCCCATCACCCCACAGTCAATGTAGTCCTCAGCCTCCTATTTTGAAACCACAGGTACTTCCAGGACTCATAGAAAGACAAATGATTTGAAAAGCAGGACAGGCCCACTGTCATGACTCTAAAGGGAGTGAGCCATATCCTTCCATGTTAACATAAGATGAAAATGCTAACTCTTGGGGGAGATGAAGCAGACATAGATTTTCATATTTAAGGATGTAAACTGCCTTGTCTTTGGGAGGAAGTCTTTGGGGGTTAGCTAATTCTGAGTAGCTCTAGGTTATTTTAGAATGTGAAATAAAAAAACTCAATATGTGTCTATGGAGCATTGTTTTCTTCCATAAACTCTCCTCATTTTGACCAGCTTACTACTCCATGCACACTCTCATTCTCTCCTGGTTTACAGCTGAGTGGCTTCTCGCTACAACTGAATTTCTTTACCTACCTCCCAGAGTCTTGTCCTCCTTACCCCACCACTTTGGCTTCCTCCATTTCACTCACACCAGGTTTGAAATGGATCATCAAAAATACCCCAGGATAATAAGTTAGCCATCTTGATATTGGACTCAACCCATTTCTCCTCTTCCCCAGCTCTTAAGACATTGCTCTGTCCTGGATTTGCATCACTGTTTTTTGCCATCACTTCTTGTTGTTTTTTATAATCTCTTCTCCATCCATCCACCCTTTATTTATTTTTTTTTTGGGTTTTTCCGAGACAGGGTTTCTCTGTGTAGCTTTGCGCCTTTCCTGGATCTCGCTCTGTAGACCAGGCTGGCCTTGAACTCACAAAGATCCGCCTGCCTCTGCCTCCCGAGTGCTGGGATTAAAGGCGTGCGTCACCACGCCCGGCTCATCCACCCTTTAAAATGTAACACTTCCTCCAGTCTTGTCACAATGCTTCCTCCTCATACAAACTATCCCCGAGTGATGCCATGTATTGCTACGGTCTTGCCTGCTGCCTGTATGTGCAGAATTTTGTGTTGACTAAACACAAACATATTAGGTTTGACTCAATATGCCCAAAACTGAAATCAACACCTACCAACTTAAACCTATAACTTATCCTAGATTGTCTACCTCTTTGAATAACTTTATGGTTGCTGAGTTTACATCATCAGAATATGAAAGTCACACTGTACTTCTTGGACCCCTTATTCCCTGGATCTCTATATTCATCAGCATCGACTTCCTTGGTGTTGTGCCCTTTACCGTTCAAAGTCACCTCCTCTCATGTTCTTCAGACACTTATCTCATCATCAGGTTCGAAACAGGCCTTCTCATTTCTCTCTTTGTCCTAGTGACTCTGTTTTCAGAATTCTGCAAAAGTGTCGTCTGTAACCCATGTTCGGCTACATCAACTCTCTATTTGAAATGTTACAATGGTTCTCCATGGCTGTTGTGCTTTGGAAAAAAAAAACCACAACTTTTAACTTCTGTACCCACAGAAATTAAATGAGATTTTGAAATTTTCCTTGTTAACAAAAAAAGAAGAAGAAAAAAAGAAAAAGAAAAGAAAAACAGTGAAGTCTTCTTATGAACTGCCTTCTAGACATCCTTTGGCCAAGAGAATGCGCAAAATCAACTCTGCTCTATTATTAACTTAAATTTTTTAAAAGATTTATTTATTTACTATATATACAGTTTTCTGTCTGCATGTACGCCTGCAGGCCAGAAGAGGGCACCAGATCTCATTGCAGGTGATTGTAAGCCACCATATGGTTTCTGGGAATTGAACTCAGGACCTCTGGAAGAACAGTCTGTGCTCTTAACCTCTGAGCCATCTCTCCAGCCCTTGTGTTAAATATTTTGAGAGACCTGGCTCATGGTCACCCTCAATCTTGGCAGTCTGCAAGCTGCTGTGTAAACAAGCCAGGGCATCCTAAGTAACTATATAAAGGTGGGTCATACTGTTAGTCATCCTAGCTGGCTTCCTCCTCTCAGAAGCTGAGGTTCCTGGACTGGTAACTGACCACATACACACGTCTAAGTTCAACTAGGACCAGAGAAGCCACTCAGTGGAGATCAGCCTAAACTGACAAACCACAGAAGCATAAGATAAATAAATCGTTGTCTTACCTCATTAAGTTTATGCTGATTTATTAAGCAGAAAACCATTCTTGATTAAAAAAACAATATTTAGAAGAAAAAACTGAGTGTTTCATAATGGGGCACAATACAAGCTCTGCATCCCCCTATGTCTACCTAGGGAAATGTCATTTCTTCTTCACCTAGAACTGTGTACTTCAGTCATTCACGCTTTTGTCTCTCATCTTTGTAACATTCTTGGTACACACAGTCATAGACATAGCCTCTTCTAGGAAAATCTGTGTCAGCACTAGACTTCCTGGACAATGTTGTAGACACTGGCCCATTTTTTCTTCATTTTTTTAGACACAGATTTTTACATAGTCCAGGCTAGCTCCACACTTGCTGTCCTCCTGTCTCAACATCCTGAGTAGCCACTTAACCAGCTGGCACTGATTCATTGACTTTCCTCTAAGTTTCTGGAGAAAAGAGTCCATGTTATTCCTGGACTCTGTCTGTTAGACACACTGTAAGACATACAGTAAATGGCTACTACTTGGTTCAAGTGAATGAGTAAAACACCCTAAATACACTGTTTGCATGCAATTTAAATTTTTCAGAAATTTTCAAATCTTTGATGAGCAGAAATCCACCCATTTGCTTCTAGATTTCACATAATCCTGGGCAGGACACAGCAATTATAAATTAGTTAAAGAACACTTCTTGGATAATTTCTTCCTAAATCCTTCTTGTCCACACTTATCTCAAGATGAAGGAACCCTATACACACACAGCTTGTATACACATACAGCTCAAGTTCTCAATGTCAATGAGAAAACAGATTTGATCTCCCAGTTTAACAAAGACAACACTCCACAGAGTTCATCCACAAATCCTCATACATTCATAAATGCACTCCAGTTTCTCTAATGAGATGGATTCCTTTTTCCCCAAGACAATAGCTAAATTAAAGGACAGTAAAAGACACAATGTAACCTCTTGAATTATTTCTCCCCAAACATCATTTCTTCCCCATACTCTGTTAAACGCTGGTGCTACAGCAGAACCTCTCTTCACCTAAGGCAGACATCGTCTGTTGATACATCGGGGATACGTACAGATAAAAGCAGCCAAGAATGAGATGGCCAACAGCAGGAAAAGTGCCATCAGTGATGTGAAGAGCAGCGAAGGGCAGCCAGGCTTACTTAGAGGAGGGGTGGGCTTCACTTTGGGAGCTGGAAGGAGAGCACAGTCACCTCATGAGTGATAAGTTTCACCTTTGTTTCTGTTTTTCCTCCCTCCCTGTCTCTCTATTCTCCATGTCACATAATTACTAATAGTGTGACCATTTGAAATAATGGAAAAATAATGTCCATTGTAAAAAACATTACAAGATACATAAAAATACACACACTACTGAAATTACTGGTATTAATATTTTGAGATATGAAAAATAATTTGAATATATATTCACAAAAACACTTTGATCATATCCCTTCAGGAAGTTCTTTTTTTTTTTGGTGGTGGGAGGTTTAATGGGCTAGGGACTCACTATGTAGAGCAGGATGGCCTCAAATCCTCAGTGATCCTCCTGCCTCTGCCTCCGGAGTGCTGGAATTCCACCACACTGGCCCTTTCAGTAAATTTTAAAGGATGTACATATAGTATGTTTTCCCACATGACGACACAGAATAGGTACTGCCATCTTCCTATGACTTTCCTTTTACACTGTCTTGTAGGTACATTTTCACGTATCCATGTTTTCTTGGTGTTCTTTGCTGTGGTTGCAGCACTACATATTATAATACCATCCAGACTGTATGAACATTAAAGACACATATACAATAAAAGGTAAATATTTCCAGTCATAGTCCACTTCTTTAGCATATAGTCAGTCCGCTAGTCACTGTCTCATGGCTGGAAACCATTTGCTAGATGAAGATAAAATTTAGTGGAGAGCACCTGCCTACGGAGGGAGAGGCTCTGCTTTGATCTATTCTATAAAAGAAAGTTCCTTTAAGATAAAAGCTCCACACAGGAACAGTTTTAATAAAGTTACAATATACTGTCAAAATAGAGGGGACAATCTCATTGTTGAAAAGTATGATTTCATTTTATGTTCATTTTTATAAAGCAGGAAATGCTATATACAAGATATATATACAAGAATGCAGGATACAAGGTATAGTTTCTGTAAATAGCAAGAGCAAAAACCATGCCACACAAGCTTTTCTTTCCCACTAGAAAACTCTACAGCCCTTAAAGTCACTCTACAAACAATTCAATCCCCTGCGACTCCAGTAAAATCCCAGACATGAGCGCTGAGAAGATTAGTAACCAGCATCACCCAAAGTTTATTATTGACTCTTCCTTTATCCTTCCCCCTACATTAAGTCCAGAATTTTTTTTACCTGTAGCAGAATCTGAGTAGGTGCCTGAGGAGTTGGATTCATTCTTGAACTTCACTTCTGCATAGGTGATTTCTGAAGCCATATCAAGAAGAGTGAGACCTGCCTCACTCAGAAAATGCACTCTGTCTCCTCCCTAAAACTCGTGGTATGTGAGAATCAAACACGGCAATGAATTGTCATATCTCACAATTATATATGAGAAGGGAGATTTCCAGATGTGATATACCACATGATAATGAGAAACCACAACATGGAATCACTCAGGCCACATACAGAGATGCAACATCTTCAAACACCAAAGTAAGAATTGTAGCATTTGGACCTACTCAGCATGATATGCAAATACTATAAAGTGGGAACTCAAAGAGGGAAGGAAAGAAATAGGAAGGAGGGGAGAAGAGGAACCATGCGGTTAGAGAACTCTGTCCTAAGACACTTGCAGCAAACATAAATTCATGCACTTCTGTATGCAAATGTGGCTTCAGACGAACCGGACAACGTGAGCAAACACTTAAGACATGACAGCATTCATTCTGACTGAACAGACAAGTTCTGACACCACATTCTAGGGGACCATTGTCCCTCACCATTGTGTGGTCTCCCACTTCCCACTCAGCTGCCTCCAGCAGGGGGAAGGCAAAGCTCACATCCTGTTTCTTCTGAAGCTGCTCCTCTGAGCTCTCTGCTTCCCACTGTCTTCATAACTCACTCATGGGCACTCTCCACTCACTGGGCCACTGGCCACATCCTGACACAGCTCTGGTTAGCAGCTGTGAGAGGAGGCTGTCTCTCTCCTCATGCCTCTCCTCCCTTGATCTCTGCACTGCTTAGCAGGAGCTTCCTGGGTTCACAGCACTGTTGGGAACAGTTGGGAGAATTAATGGATCACAATATACCAGAGGGGAACTTAAACTAGTTACTGAAAAGGGCATCATTTAGTTCCTCCCACAGATGTCTTCCAACTCATAGCAACTTGCTCAGCCTTCAGTTCTTCCAAATATTTTCCTTCTTGAAGTCTCCTCTTGCACCTACAAATAACAAACAAACAGCACATGCATGAACACCTACACAAACACACACATACACACACACACACACACACACACACACACACACACACACACACACACAGTTTTTGTTTCTAGGTTTTTGTCCAGTTTATATCCAAACATATTAAAATCCATGAGTGCACACTATTCGCTCCATTTTAGTGTAATGTTGCAGCAGGTTTCCTTTTATTTCCCAAATTTCAGCATTTCTAACCTACATATGTGACTGGAAAAAAAACTATGTTCATTGTCTCTATGGAAAGCTCTCAAGTGACAATCTCTTGAGGCTGCCCATCACCCTCCCACATCCTCCACTAAGCTGCCTATCTCTCCAGGATGGGCTCCAGCACTCAGGTCAAACCTTTGTCCCCTGAACTGATACCTTCCTCCCTTTAGCTGGATGTTCCCTCTCAGGACCAGACACCTTTCTGAAGTTCTCACATCAGGGCGGAGGAAGGCCTCCTTCACCAGGCTTGCGCTCTGAATCCTGGTGCTAATCCCTGAGGAGTCTCCACTTACCTCCTGAGGCTTTGGCACTCCAAGGTCAAAACAAGTTCCCCTCCAAGTGCAGAAGCCCTCAACACTCTGGAAGGTAGTCAGTGGTCACACAGAGCTATCCCACCAGGTAGACAGCATCCTTACTTTGCCAGTCTCTGAAACCCATACCAGCTCTGCCTTCTGCACAGACACTCTCCTCGGCCTATTTGACCACTGCACCCAATGCCAGGACATCCACAACCAGGCAAGGATTCCCCCCCTACCCTACTAGACACTAAGGTCCCACGTTCACATCGACCATAGAGACTCTCTTTAACCATGTCTGGTCCACTATCTGCAAGGAAGCTCCTTTCACTCTTCTGTGTCTCTGAATTCCAACGAAGTATAGAGTCAACACTGTGAATGGTGCCCTCTTCACAACAGATACTTTCCTCACCATGCTCGGGTACCCTCCTCACTAAGCACAGGTGCCCTCCTCACCCTTCCAAATGCCCAGTTCCTCCATCAGGACCCTCTCCTCGCCTATTTGCAGTTCTGACTCCCCACAGGAAGTGACCTAATGAGTTCATACTCTCCTCACCATGCTGGAGCACAGACTCCCTACAAGTGATCATTCCACAGCATAGCTGCCCTCCTCACCTCTCAGGCTCTGACGTCTCACACCCGACTGCTGTTTGGAGACTCTCTCCTGAATCCAGACACTTTCTCACCAGCATGCTGACATTCCCCTCAATGCTTGGGCTCCAGTTCTGCTGTCAGGCCAGCCCTCAGCATGATCTCCCAGACCCTGGACCAGACCATTGCTGCCCCACACCTGACCCTTCCACAGACACCTGCCTTGCCCTCCCTACACCATTCTTTATTCAGTAAGTTACTAAGTAACTGAGGTGCTGCAAGGAAAGAGACCAGATATGATAAATACAAAGTCCTGTGAGATTATTAAACCTATTGAGTATTTACATATAAATAAATATGCCTACACAACACTTCATTCCAGTCACAGATGCTCAGGGATTTTACCCTCTAGACAAAAATATATTTCTAAGTTATCATAACTCACATACACTAGAATAAGTCACACACAATACCAATATTCAGGTGGCTTACAATAACAAATATTTGTCATTTATGTATGTTCTTAGGGTCTGGTTATGGGTCATAGAAATTCTGTTCAGCTTCTTTCAACATTTATCATTTTGGAGACAGATTATAGAGAATAACATCTCCTCGTAAGCTGAACATGTAGTACACTCCTGCATTTAGCAGATCAGATTCATTTTCATCTATTGGCCAATGAAAATCACCTGAACAAATCTGCCAATTGGGGTTGAAAACATACTTCATGTATTGTTGAACAGTGGTGGTGCAGGCTTTAATCCCAGCACCTGGGAGGCAGAGGCAGCCAGATCTCTGTGAGTTCTAGAACAGCCTGGTCTACAGAACTAGTTCCAGGACAACCAAGGCTGTTACACAGCGAAACCCTGTCTTTAAAAACAAACAAAAATCTTGAGTAAATTACACTTTGTGAACACTGTAACTGAGAAAGATCACACACACACACAGATGCATGAGCAAAAATACATTCGTGTCCACACACACACACACACACACACACACACACACACACACACACACACTTAATGAAAACACTTGAGGGACTACAGAAATGGCTCAGTGGTTAAGTGTGTGGACTGCTCTCACAGAGGACTGGAGTTCAGTTCCCAGCACAGATGACCTATGGCTCATATGCACATCTAACTCCAGCTGCAGGGATCTGACACCCTCTTCTGCCTCTGTAGACACTGCACTGATGTACACCAACCCACACAAAGGTGTGTGCATATATACATATTTTAACTAATAATAACATCTTAAACACACACCCTTTAGCATGACTCCCTGGAGACGCTCACATTCACATCATTAGATTTGCTTTATCCTTTCTGGAGCTCCTTTCTCTTTCTAATAAAATTCTGTTCAGCCCAGTATTGCCTCTCCCTCCCTGAAACTCTGCTTTATTGACACTAGGCTGCCACACATCCCAATTATGCCTGATTGGAGACCTCTAAAAAGGACTCCACAGACAGCTGGTACTGAGTGTGTGGTATGAATCGTGTCCCCATAGTGCCCATTGCTGATGGATTGACCTGAGAATCTTGTTGGAAATGCTGACTCTAGGCACATGTAGTACTACATTCCAAGAATGAATGCTGTTTTGTACATTTAACTCAGTGTAATTCAGTTCTTTTATAATTGCTTTTTCTTCAAGGAACTGAGAATATATTTTAAACAAAGTTGTAAAACAGAATTAAAAAAACATTCAGTTTCCTGCTAGTAATAAGACTCAATTTTTTTATTTTTACATTCTTCTATCCTTTGGAGAAAACAAACCTATAAATGTCCAATTACCTGAACAGTTAGAGCCTGCCTGAGAAACACTCCCTATTACCATAGACTGGGTGTGGTGGCTGTGGCCCTAAAACATGGGAATCAGAATGAGGAAGAATAAAGGTTTCTGGTTGTCCTTAACTATACAAGTTAGTGTAGCTGGTTTGTTAGTTAGCTCATGGCTAGCCTGAGCTACATGAGAACCTACACCCCCCCAAAAATATCACCACCTTCAGTCAGTGTTTCTCTGGTCCTGGTGATTTATGACCACAACTATCTTCAGGAAGAGCTGGAAAAACAAGACAGATCCATGACCCTGGGGACTCTTCAACATTTGATGGAGGACACACTAAAGATTACATCTAAGGCGGTAAGTTCCATTAAGTATGTGCACAGCCCAAGAAAGGTGAGGAAGAAATGAGCTAGCCCAGAGCAGTTCCAGGTTACCTGAGCAGGGAAGTAATAAAAGTTCCCACACTGATCAAAAGGACTTTGTTCTCGTCCTCTTCTTTCCTGTATCTCCCTCCACCCCAGCTAGCTCAGACTTCAGTGTCCTCACACTTTCATGGAGTCCCTAACTTAAATCTAACTCACCTTTCCTCTAGAAATTGAATTTTCTTTCTTCTCCTCCTCATCTCCCACTTGTTCCTGGAGTCACTAGATTCTGGCTTTCCCTTCTGCTCATTTACCAAACCGTGTTAGAAATGGACCATCAGCAGGTCCTCCTGTCCACTGATCAGTCGTCATTGATAAGACTTCCCACATTATAAAAGCCTGCTGGTTCTCTTCCTCCTAACTGTTGGGAAACAGTGGCTCCCTCACTTTTGCCTGGACCTGTTTGCTGCTTTTTTCTGTGCTCTCTCCTTCACATTTCCTTCCACACCCACCTCTCCCAAAACGGAAAATTGCACCCAGTTCCATCTGAATTCCTCTTTATCCTCCAATTCCTCTTCCTTAGTGATATTGCATTTTTCCTGGGTTGTTGGAGGATGGGAGTGTTCCTTTTGTTTTTTAGTCTGGTTTTGTTATCTGCTACAAAGGTGTTCTAAAATGTGTACCTCTATCCTAAAACATGTGAGTGTGCATCCAAGTAAATTTGTGCATCTGAGATTTAGGTGAATATAAGCAAAACTTAAATCTTCATATTCCAACCCAAACCTGCTACTCATCTTCTTCCTCTTCAAATATCTTCATAATTGATAACTTTATGAAATCAGAATGTTAAAGTCATACCTCACTCCTCTGTGTCTCCAATACTCAGCTATCAATATTGATCAAAATGGCACCTCCTTTTGTCCAACTTATCTCCTCTCCTGTACATCACTAGCATGATCCTTGGATCAAACCCCTAGTGCTGCTCAGATGG